CTAAAAAAGGAAAAAAAAGCTTGCTTTGTATGGAAAAACAGTTCACTTACAGTATAATGTAAAAACGTTTCAAAATTAAGTACCGGTGAAGCATAGATGTTTAAAGGGACAGCACCTTCTTACACACTGAGCATTTTTCAAAGTAAAATAAATTCTGTGTATTAAGAGAAATTAAGAATAAGCCACATTATAATGTTACAAAGAATAATGGCTTTCATTATGAAAGAAAAAGCCTTAATAATTTAAGAGCATAAAGGTAAAAAAAAATAAATATTTTTGCATTTTACTCAAAAGAAGATACTCTCAATTGTATAGCTTCGACCCCACCTAGTATCTGTATATAGCTTGAAATAGCAGGGCTTGATCTTGAATCCTGCTGCAAATTGCAAATAACGGAACTTCAGTGGCATAGTTAGAGCCAGCCATACAGAGGGAAGGATCCTTAGCCTCAGAGGAAGAGCACACTGGACCTGCAGATCCCTGCTGGAGCACAGCATCAGGTACCTGATGCAGGGCTGCCCCTCCAGTCGCCCTGGGCCTGGGCCCTCAAGGGCTCTGCCAGTCTCTCCACGGGCTGCTGTGCCATGCTCATCACCCACATGCTGCTTGGGAGCAGGTGCTGGCTGCAGAGTCCTGTGCGAGCCCTGGCCAGCCCTTCCAGAGGCGGAGAGGAGGGTACCTGTGCAGGCTCCCCTCTGCTTGCATGTTCAGGTTTCTCTCCTAAAAAGGTGCATGAGCACTGCTGAAGAGAAAAACAGATATGAGAAAACTCCCATGCTATATATACTGCTACACTTTCTTTCCATTCAGTAACTCCTTCCATTAAACCTTTTACCATATATGCACTACTTAGAGCTTGTATTTTTAACCACTTCTCACATCATTTGCTGGTGTCACTTGCCCTGCTAGACTGCTCCTTTGGCATCACAGCCCTCCTTCTGGAAGGGACTTTGCTCAGCAGTAAAGCAGAGAGGTGGCCTCTCCAATGTTTTGGGAAAGGGAAATGAGGAAAAGCAATCAAAAGGAGCCCAAAGTAATCCCTTGTCTCCTTTTTCAGCTGCCTTCTGCTATGATAACAATCCAGGCTGTTGACACTGCTGTTTATATGAGCATGGAAGTGATGAAGGCATTATCACTGTTGGGCTGTGGGTCTTTCCTCAGCAGTCAGGCAGGAGGAGCAGGATGATTACAAATGGAAAAAGACCCTTGCAAATCACCCATGGCAAATGTAACAGCAGGAAAAAAGGGTAAACCAAATGTAATTATGGAAGTGATACCATCCCCAAATTTCAGGAGTCTCCCTTTTTCCTTCAGTTTGATGAACTGAAGCTTTAATCCTGACCGTTAATTCAGACCTATAAAGAAAGACTACTAAATCCCTAAGAAATATCTTGAGAAATTTAACTATAGATTTTTATTTTTATTTTTTTGTCTCAGAACACTTGAATAATTTATTTTATTGTAGCACTGAACCTTTTGGAAACAGAGATCCTGTTATAAAGTGAATGTATAACCATAATAAGTCAGATCCTAGGGTCTCAATTTGGTTTTAGAACAGGCCAAACTCTGATTTCAAAATGAGCTTGTCTGAGAACAGTGACCTCTTAAAAACTGCAGGATTCATACCATTTGTGCTGTGTGATCGTAACAAACTAGTTGTGAATGTGGAGAGAATTCAGAAAAGCTTCGTTTTTTCCTAATGTGAAAGCATGCTTTTTATCCTCAACCTTGCACTATTCCCAGTCTCCTTCTAAAAAGACCTATGAAAGGGAAAGTGTTTTTTAATCGCTATAAAACCTTTTATTAGCTGTGCAGGTTTCAGGATTTTGTTTCATTCAGAAATATTAGGTTCAGATAAGCTCCCTGCATATTTTCCTTTAGACTCTTAACCCACCATTTGTTTCTGAAAATGTAGCTAACGACATTCAGAGAGGCTGTTATTGTAGCTAACAACCTACAAGGAGCCTGTTATCCCTGTAGAAGGACATGTCTTAGGCTACCTTGTTCAAGCTCACTTCCCTTAAGTAAAGAAAAAGCAAGTACTCATGTACTTTCACCATGCTGTTCAAATATTTTTAGTAATGAGGAAGAATTCTACTTTCACACATGGAGGAGCATTTGAAAAGCTATTTAAGAGGGTTTTTGAGGTCCTGTTCCTTTCATGTAATATTTGTCAAAAAGACTGCTTGCATCACTACACTTCTGGCCAGTGCAAAAGGTAATGTGAATATTTGCTGTTGCAGATACGTCACTTCGTAACTATTTTCAACTCCCACTAGGATGGAAATAGCAGAATGTGAAATACCATGCACTAGCACTTAACAGTGCTAGGTTATTCTGTAATTCAGGGCTGCCTGGATTTTTAGATTAGATAGGTCATACAGCTTCTTCCACTGTTGAGCCAGGTCTGCACACCCTACCTGCTTTCTCCAGAGCAGATGACCAGACCAGGTTTTTTGTCCATTTCCAACACAGATGAGCTTCTCATGCACCCAGCACAGTTGATCTGCCATGCACAGGACCCCTGGTAAAGCCAGAACTGCTGTCTATGCACAGCTTGGTTTCTCAAGAATGCAAAATAATTATAGCAATTCCCAGCAATCCATGCTCATTCCAGACAGAAGTCTGTGAGCTCTGGGGAAAAGAGAGCAGCTGAGAAGAAGGTCTTCTGCAGCTTGATCTAAACCACATTTTATTTTACCAAGGTTTGCTTGGGTAGAGGCAGCAAGCAGAATGGGTTGAATGGAGAGTCTTGGTGGGCAGCAACCAGCAACCCACCCTTGGCACATCACCTGCCTTCAGGTTCCCCTTAAGTCCAGGCCCCCTCAGAAAGGATTTATCAGGACTGGAAGGGATAACCTAAAGTTAGAAGCTGGCTTTAGAAGGGAGAGTCAGGGGGAATAAAGCCAGAGTCTGGCTGGTTCTCACAGCCCTTAGAAGTATCCATTATCTGAGAGAAAACTCCATAATACCCTATGTGCAAGGCAACCAGCCTTTTGTACTTCTGTTGGACTGGAGGGATGTCACTGTACAACTCCTCACGCTCTGAAACTGAGTCAGGAGTGACACTGGTGTCTATCACCTGACCTCTGTTCAAACACAGCTGGCAGCTTTGATATAGTTTGATTACCAGAATGGAAAAGAACCCAGCATTAGCCATTCAGTCATTATTGAATGAATCAATTAAAAATAATAGAAAAAGAGTACTTTCATCATGCCTCACAGTACTGGTCAGCTTGTTCTATCTTTTTTATGAGCTACTTCCTTAAAAGAAGAAATTAATGTAACTCACTCTGAAGACTGGCATCAGCTTCTCTCAGTCTGTGAGAAGCAGTCAACACAATCCATGTGTTTCCATATCTCAGTGACAGTTAAAGTCTACAATTTCACACTCTCACTTAGTGGGAAAACACAAACAAAACACTATGCCCTTTGGACACTGTAATTCAGAAATGTCTCTCTCTTTGACCTGGGAATGCCACGAGGGAAAGCTGAATGTGTCAGGGCTAGTACTTCACAGAGAAAAAAAGCAACAGGTAGCTCAAGGGGCAGCACGGCCTGCCTACAAACTTCAGAAATCAGCAACTCTTCAATTTGCAAGTGAACACAAGGTAGATGTCTCTTGTGATTTTGCTCTAGTCCTCTCTCACCTGAGAATGGGAGAATAGGGAAATGGTCAGGGAGCCTATAGTGGTGAATTCAGTTGCAGTGGGAAGCAAGGAGAAGACCCTTGCTACAAAGAGGGCAACTTTTCCTGTTATGTGTCCTGCTACTTCTGTTTTAATCACCACTTTCTGGTCTTAGGCTGCAAAGTTACAGTTCACTGACAAGAAGAATTGCTTCACAGAAAATTCGGTAAACAACTATGGGTAGCTCAAGAATAATATTAATGACAAATTGATAATTATGAATACAGTTTCTGTCTCACTAAGGCCAGATATCTATATACTGCAAATCTCTGACCCCAGTCCATCCTGGCCTCCATGCTGAGAAGGAACAAAAGACATCATTAGGGCTTTTTTTTTTTGTTAAGAAAATAGAAAAGTACCTCTCTTGAAAAAATTATATCACCACCATCCCCCAGCTAATTCATTCTCTCTTAACTTCTTCATGCTCTAGTGATCAAATCATTAAACAGCCCTCATTATTCATTCCAACTTCTGCCAGGGATATGAGCTCTGTATCCGAGAAACACCTCCTCACCATCACAATCATCATAATGACATCTTAGCGAGTTGATACAATTATGCCAGAGAACCATCCCATAATTATACAGTTCTTTAGCTCATTTCTTAGTGTATTCACCATTACTATAATCACAGCAAGTACAGTGCCTTAAATTAGGAACAAGATCTACAGCTAACAGGATGAAAAGTCTGCCTGCTGCAATTCTTCAATTCTTTACAATATAAATCTGAAAACTTGTTAAAGTGGAGGTTCATATTTTAGGCATGTGTTTGTTTTCGAAACAATAGATATTTACAAACTCATTTTAAGATGCAAATGAAGGATGTATTGTTATGGAGGGAGAGTGCAAACCTCTTCCCCACATAATTTTCAAAGTATTGCTAAAGAACAGGTAGCACTGGACCTTATTTCCTAACCAGATATTAGGTGTAGATTTTTTTGCATATGGTACATATGGACTGCCATCATAAAGCATTTTTGCCTTTCAGCTCACAGTGATCACAAAGACAGCTGAAGCAAACCTTGGCAGCCGCTGATGCTTATTTGCCATGAGATCCATTAATCCTTTCCATTGTTACTGTGAAAAATGCTCTGGTTAAAATATGCTGGAAAACAGGCAAATGTATTTTCACAAAATATAAACTGAGGAGGGGGTGAAGGAAGGTTAGAAAAGAAAATCCATAAAAATTAAAGAACCAAATAGAAAACCTAGGGCACTTCACACCTGTGGAAAAAGTAACAGAAGTCTCTTTAACAAAATCAAGCAGACATACTAACAAGCTCTTCCTGTCTATTTCCATTTACCAAATCAGGCACAGCCAAGAAAATGTTGCACTTTGAGATTTCCAAGGAAGGCAGTGAATTATCGGTGGTGGAGCATGCTGAAGTGTGGCTCTTCCTGAAGGTCTCCAAGGCCAACCGGAGCAGGACAAAAGTCACCATCCGCCTGTTCCAACAGCAGCGACAGCCAAAAGGCAATTCTGAAGGAGCAGAAGATACAGAGGATGGGGGGCTGAAAGGTGAAAAGAGTGAGACTTTGATTTCAGAAAAGGCAGTGGACACTCGTAAGAGCACTTGGCACATCTTCCCTGTCTCCAGCAGTGTCCAGAGACTCCTGGACCAAGGCAAGAACTCTTTGGATGTGCGAATTGCCTGTGACCTTTGTCAAGAGACTGGAGCCAACCTGGTGCTACTGGGCAAGAAGAAGAAAAAGGAAGATGATGGGGAAGGGAAAGAAAAGGAAGCTGGAGAATTCACAGGAGAAGAGGAGAAGGAGCAATCACATCGGCCCTTCTTGATGATGCTTGCCCGGCACTCAGAGGATCGCCAGCACAGGCGGCGAAGACGAGGCCTGGAGTGTGATGGCAAAGTCAACATCTGCTGCAAGAAGCAGTTCTTTGTCAGCTTCAAGGACATAGGGTGGAGTGACTGGATCATTGCTCCTACAGGTTATCATGCCAACTACTGCGAAGGAGAGTGTCCCAGCCATATAGCAGGCACATCTGGCTCATCATTATCTTTCCACTCCACTGTCATCAACCACTACCGCATGCGGGGCCATAGCCCCTTTGCCAACCTCAAATCATGCTGTGTGCCCACCAAGCTCCGGCCTATGTCCATGCTCTACTATGACGATGGCCAGAACATCATTAAGAAAGACATACAGAATATGATTGTGGAGGAGTGTGGCTGTTCGTAGACGCTAGTGTGCACAAGACCCTTCTTGTTAAGTAGAAAATGTATCAAAAGCCCAAGAAGAGGAAAGACCTGACATGGTATAATATTTTTTGAGTGAAACAATCATCAGAAATATAAGCAAAAATAGAAGAGAGCAAGAAAAGGGAGAGAAAGAAGAAAAAAAAAAAGACTTATGGAAGATCAGAAAAGACTTCAGCTACAAAAAAGGAAGAAAATATCATGAAGATGGGCTTGAACAAGATAGGTCAAAATGGTGGTATGGATTGGGGATTTCCCCTTCCTTTCAGTATGCTCCTTATCTTGTTACATAGTATACTAAACATTAGTTACTACTAGGGGAAGGAAGTTTTCTTCCCTCCCTTAGTTACCCATCAGGTCAAGCCATGGTAGCAGCTCATCTAACCTGCAGAAATTTGGACAAAGTCCAAAATGTCAATGAAAAGCCATGTGTATGATCACTGCAGTCACTGGCGCTTTCCCCCCACATTTACAGAGCAACTGAGTAGGTGTATAGTGTTTGTGTTTGTATATATATGGCTATGTGTTTATATACATGTCTCTATACATACAGACACAATACATATACTTAACATTGATCAAGGGTCAATAGTGTGCAGGGTGTGTACACCTTCATCTTCTGCACTACATTTACAAAAAAAAAAAAAGAAGAAAAAAGGAAAAAAGAAAAATGAAGAAAAAAACGGAACAAAAAAATTAATGAAAGAATAAAAGTTACATTCTGTAAAGGTGCTTACAATGTTAGAACTATGCAACCTAGATGGTTTGAAACTGTTTACCTGCAAGAGAAAGAAAAAAAAAAAAGAGAGACTTTTTTTTTAAATGGAAGTAACTTGTTTAAAAAAAAAAATCTTTGGTGAGAGATACTTGAAAGGAACATGTTTGTCCAGTTGCTGGAGTCAAACATTTCTATATTTTGTAAAAAAATTTTTAATCGTTTACTATTTGCACTACAATGGTGTCTGACCTGTCTAATCCTTATTTAACAAATATTTGCAAGGGAGGGTGGTTGGGTGTGGGAGGGGTTGAGAGCTGCACTTATTGTGAGCTATACAAGAACTGCTACAGCACACAAAATAGCTATTTTTATTATTATAATAATTATTATTATTTTGTACCTTAAAATGAATAGACACATACACCAAAGACATTTGTGGAAGCCTCTATAAAGTCTGTTTGTGGTTGGTACCATTCACCTGTAATGAGTTAGGGTTTGAATTAAGTCAGTGGGTTGATTACATTCAGGCTAGAATATCTGTTAACCAGTTAAATTCAAATAGTGCCCTCAACAAAAAATGACCATTTGAAGTAAGCCCAGAAAATCCCTGGGATTTGGATCCAAAGTGCTTGGATCTGAGGTCCATCTGAGCATAATCATACTGTTTTGTATGTACAACACTAAACTCGGCCCTTATGCACAGCAAATGTGCATTGTAGGGAAACAACTTTGTCCAAGGGATATACATACATACGTATATTTTTCTGTATGTATATATGTATGTATACACAAGTTATAAGCACTTCTGGCTTCATTTTACTGTTCTTAAAACAATGAATGTTTGTGTGCAAAGCACAGTATGTTAAAAAATTTTTTTGTTTCTTACTGCCGAGTGGGAGCCTACATGTTCAAAATGGTATTTGTGCAAGAGAAACCTAAAGTGCTGGTATATGATGTAAAATTACAAGCAGCCTTGGGCCCTGTCCACCATTGCTCCTGCAAATATACAGAAAATGGCAATTGTGGTTGGATTTCTGTTTGAAATACAGTCTTTGCTGAAATGCTGGCTTTCTCAATCACCACCCTCTAGCATGACAACTCTTAATGGGTTTGCGTGTTACCTGTCAGACCTAATTTTCAGTGTCAACACCTAACCTGAAGGGTCCAACCCGTAGGGCATAGGTAGATAGTTGTTGTTTTTTTAAAAAAATTTCGCTGTCATATTTAAAAGAATGTTAAACTTAAATTTGTCTTTGGGTAGGGGGAGATGATAAGAGGGAATGGGAGAAACCTTTAGGCCCTGTTTACACTGAGTTTGATAACCCTGAGCCTGAAGCTTCAGACTCTCCTAGGTTTGCTGAACCAAGCCCCTGTTAGTTGCCTTCTGAGGGGACAGGCTTCTAAATGCCTCTCCTGGAAAGAAGTACTAACACAGCTCCCCATCTTGCTGAGAGCACAGTCTGTTTAAAAAAAAAAAAAAGAAAAAGAAAAAAAAGAAAAAAGATAGCACAATATAACCCAGTCACACTGGCTAGGGATAGTGTGTTAGCACCTTCATGGCAAGAACCATGTTTAAACAGTGTAATCAGGGCCTTCATTTTTTGTCAGCCAAAACTGTTTGTGTGTGCATGTGTGCGTGTGTGTTCTCTGCGTGTGCAGATGTGTGTGCGCATGGGCGCATGTCTGTATTTGTATGTATCTATAGAGATAAAAATGAAAAGGGAAAAAAAAGAAAAAAAAGAAAGAAAGAAAAAAAAATAGCCCTTTCCTCTGTTGAATAAGTATCAACATACATGCATATAGCTAAGTTTTCTATCTAATTTATTCCACAATATTTAGATTGCATAGTACAGCTAATGGGTTATACATTTATGTACTTTTTATACAACACAGTTTTTTTACAGACTTGTTTGCAATTTGCAAAAAAAAAAGTTGAAAAAATATAATTGGTTAAACACTAAATTTGTCACTGAAGTGTTCTGTAAAATATCAAGGCTTTCTGATTTAAATTATTTACAGAAGTTTGTTGGGTTTTTTGTGTTTTCTTCCTGGGGAAAGTGAGGGATACCAAATGCTAGTAGGAAAATTTTCAGGAAAAAAAAAGGATGGACAACTAATTTATCTTTATAAATTTAACAAAGTTCTTGGCCCTGCTTATTTGAAGCATGTGGCAGAATTTCTGTCAATTTTTCTAGAAGCAGAGCCAGCCTTTGGAGCAGCAGGAACAGGGACACAGTCTGTGAGAGTTGTTGAGGATACCATTTAGTTCACTGGTCTTTGTACTTGGCCTTAAAATTGGGTGCCTCAGAACTCTTATTTACATCATCAGATGTCCCAGAATGGTTACTTGTGTCAACAGGCCCTTTGATGTCAACTGGCCTCCTTACAAGATCAGTAAAACTACTTACATGAGTAAAGCTGTGCCAGGGTGAATGACAGGTTCCTTCTGCTGTGGGCACTATCAAGGGAGAGAAAGGATTCTGAATGAATGGCACCACAGCCAATGCTGTTTAATCCAATTATTTGAATGAGGCTGTTTGCATCATGGTGGATCTGAACACAGTGGTAAGGGAAACAGGTCAGATGGCTCACATTGATAAAATTTATTCTCAACAGTGATTACTTAGAGAGCATTGGAGACCTGAAATCCCCGAACCTTCCCCTAGATGACAATGGCAAAACTCCCATTGGCTGCTAGCAAAGTTGGTTTAGAAAAACTCATGGTTTTTCTGGCTAAAGGAGAAAGACCCTTTAAAAAATAATTCTCATCCTGAATTTGATAGCAGATGAAATGTGATGAATAGGGACTGGCCTGAAACTAGCGTGAGACAACTTCCAAGTGAGGAAAGAATATAGGATTTTAGATATTGTGAGCATGTTTCATGATAGCTATACCAAAAACAGAAAAAAGTTTTCAAATCAAGAAGTAAGTGTTCCAAGCCCTATTTTTTTTAGCTTGCATTTGTATGTGTATACTGGTCACAAATTTAAAAGATTTCTCCCTCCAATCTCTAGCATCAGTCATGGGGTTTTGATTTGTGGTCAGAGTTATTTAAAGTAGGGGGAAATGAAAAACTGTATCATAAAGTAAAATAAGAAATTTGGATGCTAATCAAGACTGAATGATTCCAGCAAAATAGCCCATCCCTGATAATTTGATTTAATTAAATCTGCATGTACTTAAAATAGCATTAGAAATTGTTACCATATTTAAGCAGTTGTTCTAGGGCATGCAGCCTTAAAAATTACTACTCCTTTCAGGTATGACTATACCAAAAAAAAGAAAGAAAGGCTCTTAACTACTAACACATTCCTTTCCATATAACCTACTTACTGTTTATATTGAAAATACATTTTCAGTATATATTTAATCACAGAAATGTATTTGTTTAGTGCCTCCGTAATGTTATTGCTTGAGAGCTGACCACATTTGGTTGTCTTTTCACATCTCCATGTCAGATGCTCTGGTTACAAAGCCTAAGAAACTGGCATAAGTGCATGCTAAGATGTTTCTTTGGGAGGGCTGAATGTATTTGTATCCTTTAGATTTAGCAAAAGGAAATGCTTACAGATGCTTGTAATTATTATGCACTCATGGTCTAGTGCCCAAAACTGTAAAATTGAATGAAATGGGAGTTTTGTCATTGACTTCAATAGAAACACTCTCCTACCAAATCACTACAGAGTAGGGTTGCATTATATATACCTCCTTTTTTTTGTATTTAGTTGAGAAATAAGCTGTCAAATTCATTTAACAGTGACACCACAAGACCATGTAGAGGCTAGCAGCAATATCTCTTAGGCAGAGAACTTCAGGCATCTGTAAAGTTTATGTGCAAAATTAAAAATTGATGGACTATAGTTACTCATGTGGAATTGTGCCTTATTCTGTAAGCAATGCCATTGATTTTCAGAGGGTCTCCTTTCCTAGAAAGTTACCAGTCAGCATCAATAAATTGAGAAAAATCTATTTCTGAAGTATAGGTAGATACAATGGAAATTATCAAGTTCTTTAAGTTAAACCTCATGTCAATAGTGTACATCAGTATAAGAAACAGATGCTAATCCCTTTTCTTACACTGAAAAAAGCTTTACTCCCCCTTATGCTCTCATTGCATTACATGTGGAGTAAAATGTTTTCAGCATGAGTAAATAAAATCATAATTTGATCTTCTGTGAACAACTAGAAACAAGGTTTTCATGGGCCGAAACAAGCAGCACTTCTGGGTTTTATAGCTATTTATTTTTTGAGGTATAATGAATCTGTTAATTCTCAATGGGTTTCTTTGTATTTAAATACTTTCAAAAACAACACATTGACAATGGGTTGAAGATACATATATACATACATATATTCTATATGTATGTGTATATATATCTTCATAATAATATGCATATATAAATATAATACAATTTAATATGACATAACATATAACATTATGTTATATTACATTGAATTATATTATATATATACATATTATATATATGTCTACAGTATATATATATACACACACAGCTATATATATGTATATACATATATATAAATTATGAAAGCCAAGATATTATGAAGCCTATTTTGTTTTTATCATTTTGTGTTTTGTTGTTGATATTATTATTATTATTATTGTTATTATTATTATTTTGCATACTACATGCAGTGCTTTAACCAATGTCTGTTTGGCTAATGTAATTAAAGTTGTTAATTTATATGAGTACATTTCAACTATGTCAATGGTTTCTTAATATTTATTGTGTAGAAGGACTGGTATTTTTTTTATTTACATTATGTTTAAAGAGGTAACAGTTTGATATGTTCTCATTTGTTTATATTAGAAGTTATTTATTTTCACAGCATTCCGTCTGGTATTTTGATATTTGGAAGGCATGCTACCTATACTTTGTACAGTTAGTGGGCAGTATTCAGCAGCTCCCAGTAGATTTTTAGGCCCTATATTAAGTAAAAGACTTATTTGGGCTTTTTATTTTAGATTTTTTCTATTGGTTTGCCAGGACCACTCAGTGCACTTATTGCCAGACACTCTGCCTGCGTGACCAATTTATTCCTACTGTATTTACCCAGGACAGAGGACCAAAACCACCTCTGGTGTAAGTCCAGTGACTTCAGTGAAGTTATACCAGAGATGTATTTGGCTCACAGAGAAAATGCTTGTGCAAATCAATGCAAAGAAAAGGCAGAAAGAAAGAGTCTTTGCATTTGGAACGGGATTTCAACATGTTAAAAATGTTTGGATCAGCTGTTACTTTACTTTGTTCTTTTTGTTATTTTGCTCTTTCTTATACAACAGCAGCAACAACACAAGTGAAATAAATAAAGGGAGTTTCACCAAGCCCTGTGTAATTGTTCCTTAATATGCATTCCTTGCTCTTGCTGGGAAATTCATGGAACTTGGGAAATAATGCCTCTTTGGATTGAACAGTATTTATCTTTCTCTTCAATGTGAATATGTTAAATGGACATTTGAATTCATGGCCCAACAAGTAATGGAATTTTAGGTTGTTCACTACTCCTTGTGAAACACATGGAGTACAAAAGCTAAAGGCAACTGCAACTTCCCGTTACCTGTAGACTGTTAGGTCTTCAGCTACCATCACCACAATTCCCTTTAAATAATCCAGAACTAGATGCTTACACAGATAAAAGGGGAATTTTCATTACTGAGAAAAAAAAAAAAATTGGAAAGCTGTCAGTTCACATGGGTTAGTTTATAAATTGATAGGTAGTCAAATGAAATGATCAGAGGCTTGATTACAAGCATCTGATTACTGCTCTGAGTGAGAAATTATCTGAGTACCCTCATATTTGAAAGCAGGATGAATTTATGAAGGGTTTGCACCAGTCATTGCATTCCTATGGTGATAAATGGGCTCTTGCTACATTCCACACATTGTCAGTGGGGTGACAATTCTGAAGTTGATATTTAAGCAGATTTTTTGCATAGTGCGCAAGCATAGGCCATCACAGCTATCAACAGGCCTTTAAATAATTAGGCACTGAAAACTGTTCTACAAAGCTTGGAGAACTGAATTGGTTTCCTCTTACTGAAAATATATTTTTAAAAAAGCAATGCAATCAGTGCTAGAGAAAGCATTTGTTTCAGAAACTACTATGACATGTTTGAATATATGCTTTCTTCCCTTCATTATGATCTCTATGATACAGTTGGACTCAGTGATCGTAAAGGTCTTTCCAGCCTAGATTATTCTATGATTATTATTGCCAGAAAAGACAAATCCAACTGGATTTGGAAGTTGCTCTAAGAGAATAAAACTCTAAGAGCTACTTGATTCCAACTGCTGGTGTATTAACCTGGTACAACTGAAGCTTACACTTCAGGTGTAAAACAGAAAGTTATTATTTCTATTTCATGACACAGAATATAGTACTAGATAATGCAATCCAGATGTTTTCCATTTTCTCCAGCTATTTTATTTCCTTTTTACTTTAAGAATGCTGTTGAG